GTAATAGATATTTCCAGGACTCTGTTTAAAATGCATGGGGAAGGGGCTGGAGAGATGGTTCAGAGTTTAAGAGCACTGGCTGTTCTCCCAGAGGACCCAGGTTCAATTTCTAGCACCCACAATAGCAGCTCACAACTGTCTGTAACACCAGCTCCAGAGGGTTATAGCCAACATCCTAACACAGCCATACATGCAGGCAAAACACCAATGCACATAAAATAAAAGCAATTTAAAAAATGCATGGGGAAATAGTGTGAACTGTAAAGCGTTGTAGTGTATAGAGCAATATTGTTATTAGATATGACAGGAGACACTCCACCCTAAATGACTTATGTCAAATTCTCCTGAGGTACTTAACATAGCATCTCCTTGTGATTTTGTCTGTGATTATGTTTTTTCTCCCATATTATAAATAGTAATCTTTCATGTGTATCGGCAGGAAGGGAGATTAAAGGAAGAAAAAAGTTAGACTCTGAAAATACAGCTGTGTGGAAAATATATTCCAACCCAAAGGGGAAGCTAACATAAACAGAGGCTGGCCATGGTGCCAATCACTTGGGAGAATTCACAAAACAAAGAAACAGTTCACATTTGTTTCAGTTGCCATGGAAACTGCCATTATTTGCAGGATTTCTTGACATGACTTGTTTTCCCTTTAAATTCCTCAGGGAAAGTGCTTCACTTTGAGGGATAGCCAAAGGATGCAATTTGGGGGATGGACAGGAGAGGCAGAGTCTTTTTCTGAGCTTATTTATACAGATTTAGGCATTAAAGGTAGAAGATTTAAATCTCCTAATATAGATCTTGAGATGTGTGATGACACAAAAGAGCTATTGCTGAGTAAAATGTACAATGGTATTTTGAAATGGAGACAATTATTTAGTAAATGGAAATCATTTTGATCAGTGAGGGTGTTTTGCGTAGATCACTTACACTCAACCATAGGCGAGCAGTGTCCCCAAATGTTTTACTGTAGTTGACAACTTTCAAAATAGGCATTGTACATACTAGTACTTCTATCCTCCAGGCCACTCCTGTGATATTTGTTTTCCCACAGTTTCAGGGGAGAAAGCAAGGAACAATTTCTATATGAGCACAGAAATCAGACCAGTGTGGCCAAGAGCCAAGTCTGGCCTATAGCCCAGGCCTGCCTTCTCTCAATCTTTGGGCAAACTCCTTTACCTTGTCGGCCTTTTTTTTCCCATTGGCATATTGGGATGATGTTCTCTTTCTCATCTGGTTGTGGTGAAGATGACTCAATGTATCAAAAGCTAGTGACTAAGCAACAGTAGATACTATCATGTTCATTTTGAAAATATTGTTATATATGGTAATAGATTATACAGTGTTATATCTAGCCACCACCAACAAAAATGCAAATGCCCATATGTATGACTAACACTGCTATACCACATTAAGACTGTAGTAACTGCTTCTCAAACAGAAAGAAATGTCCAAAGGGAAACCTGGGTTTCCTTAGGATGCTTTCTGTTCCCTGGTGCTGGTGACATAGGGTCTTGACTTGAAATGTATTTAGAGTGAGCATGGCCTTAAGGAGAAGGGGAGGGGCTGGGAAGGCAAGGACAAGGGCTAGTGAACAAGGCTGTGAAGATGAACTTTTAAATCCTTTCTGCTCTGGAGATTCTATGGGAGGAAGAGATTCCTAAGAAAAACTAATCCCTGTGTTGAAGGTTTCAATGGGACACAAGAAGGAGTCATGCCTGCTTTATGCAGAGCTCACACTGTGTTTTCTGTCAGTAATTCTAGTCTGGCCTTCAGAAACACCTGTTTAAATTCTGCCAAGTTAAACTTGGCAGTGGCGGGAGTTTTAATGCACTCATAGAAGTCTAGGATTAAAAATCAGAAGGGAGTTAAAGGCAAGGAAAGGGCTGTGGGTTATCTAGAGGGGTCAAGCTATCTGAAGCTGAGGCTTGGATTATCTGCTTTGCACGTTCCTGGAGAATAAATTCACAGACAACCAGCAGGGATTATCACTGGAGCCTGGGAACTTTCAGACATAAGCACTGAGAGGGGAAGCAGCAAGAAGCAGGCTTCTTTTATGGAAAACCTTTCAAGTCCTGCAGTAACAATCTCTTCTCTCCTTTCCTCTTCACACTTCCCTCCCATCTCCTCTCCCTTTCCTTCCCCTCCCCTCTTTCCCTCTTCTCTAGTATCTTCTTTCACACAGTTATACTTCTTGAAAACAGAGGTAGAGGTGCAGAGAGGAAATACAAAAATCCAAATTTGAAC